GCCGCGCGTGTCCGACGATTGGGCCGCGCGCCGCTCCCACCGCCGGCCGTGATCGGGGCGCGCTGGTGAACATCACCACCGTCGACGGCCGACAGTCGCGCGTTGTCAGCCGCGTCGTGCGGTGTCGAGTTATTGCGTCGTTTCCCGCCGTACCATCCATCCACCTGCTCTTTTCCTTTCTCTCTCTCTCTCTCTCTCTCTCTCTCTCTCTTTCTCTCTTTCTCTTCGAGTTTTGCCGCCTTCTCGCCGCCGCACGTGGTGGCCTTCGCGTTCGCGGGTCCGCGTACGTCGGCGACTATCGATCTACGTCGGGTGGGCGCTGGAAAGATACCCCGCGACGTTTCGCTCGCGCGCATTCGCGGAGTTACGAAGTTTCCGTCGGCGAAGTTGTACGATTCTTTCATGGCCCCTGTAAGGCGTTAAATTTCGGCCTGGCGCCCCATAGTCCTCGCGTTAGCGGACGAAGTTTATTCCGCCGCCCTGCCGCCACCCCCGCGCGGTACTTTTCGACGTGTTGGAGGCGCGGAAGCGGGGAGAGTGAGAGAGAGAAAGAGAGGAGGGAGAAGGAGAGGAATATACACAGGGAATGAGAGAGAGAGAGAAAGAGCGCACGGATCAGGGAACGCGAGGGGTTGTCGACGGGGTTGAGAGAGAGGCATCGCGGACGAAAGTTTTCGGCGCGGTGCAGGCGGATAAGGCAGCGGCACCGTGGTGGAATATTTTAACATATATCACGACGAAATTGGGACGGGGGTATGGTGCGCGATAGCTGTCCTCTCCCTTCGCCCGCACTCCGCCACCTCTTCGTCGTCGGCTTCGCCTCTTCTTCCGTTTCGTCTTCCTCCCCTCGTTCGCGCGGCAACTTAGTCTCTCGTCGCCGGCTCGTCGTCGGCCGCGTGCTCTCGCAGTGGTGGTGGTAGAGTACAGAGCTCGTACACCACACGTCGCTTGCTCCAGCACGCCAGCAACGCGACCACCACCATCACCCGTGTGTGTTGTGTGACACGGCAGCGAGTGACTCGCTGTGTCGCCGAATCTGCACGCCGCCCCGACCAACCCGCCCACCCGCCAACATGTTTGTCTGCCCCACGGACTACGGCAACTATAAAATGGTAAATTTACCGAGAATACGGCCCGCGCGGCGACTTGATTATTATGTCCGCGTCTCTCGCAAGCGGAACGATCGATAGATCCTCCCGTGTCGCGCGCACTTCCCGCGTCTTGCTAGCGCCGCTTTTCTGCTGCTTCCGTCGAGGTACCGCGGTTTACCGTGCCGCGTTAACTATACTGCAAAAATGGCAATATCAGAAAGTTGCACCGAGCAAATCCGAGTCGAAATTTTGTTGAACCTTGAATTCTATACCGCACACTGAGAGAAAAATTATCTTAAAATCAACAAATATTTCCTTGGTGGGTATTAATATATTTACTTAAATCTACATTCTCTTTACTTAAATCAAATATTGTTTACTTGATTTAAATAAACAATATTTGATTTAAGTAAAGAGAATGTAGATTTAAGTAAATATGTTAATATCCACCAAGGAAATATTTGTTGATTTTAAGATAATTTTTCTCTCAGTGCAGTAGGAGCTAAGATAGCAAAGTAGGTTCAATTCTAATGATATAATTTACTCCTACCTTGACGTCTGAAATTTCCGCTTTCGCTTTTTTTAGCGTCAAAGTAGGTTGTATAACAGTAGGATCTTAGGAAGCAAAGTAGGTTCAGCTGCGAATCTCTATTGAAGCTTTAGCTCCTACATAGAATATATATATTTTATAGAAATATTTAAAAATTTAATAAATAACGAAACAGAAACGTCAAATAGCATACAAAATATACATTTTATTTGTTGCATATATTTCAGACATCATCAGGGTCAAAGGAGTAAATTATATCATTAGAATTAAACCTACTTTGCTATCTTAGCTCCTACTGTGGTGTAGAATTCAAGATTCAACATAGGATCAAAATTTCGACTCGGAAATAAGTATCAATATCGTCAAAATAGATTTCACCTAGGTTATAGATTATCTAAGTAGGCTCAAACTATTTTTAAGAGCGTCAAAGTAACGTCAAAAGGTAGAGTTAAAGGTTCAAAAGCGAAGTTAATGAGTATCAATATCGTCAAAGTAGGTTTTACCTACACGGAAAAAACAATATGGTTGATCCATACAGAAATCTGGTTGTGCCAACCAGATTCAATAGTAAAATACGGAACAACTATGTGGTTGCTGTAACCAAAGAGCAATGGCTGAGTTACTTATGTTGCAGCAATGATAATACATGGTTAATACAAACGCGGCTCATTACGCGGCAACTACAAATGTATATTTATACACTCAGAGCCAGTTTTCACATGTATACATCTCTAGCTGGCGCGTAGTGAATTGCTTTTGTTTTCTAACATCGCTGCTTTGCGATATAGCATTGATTAATGCAACTATATCGATATTTAGCTTGTCTATGCAAAATGATTCCCTTACTAATTTCTGGTTGCCATAACCAGATCACGCGCAACTTCATTGATGTAGTTGACACACCAAAGTAAATCAATCAAATCAACCATACATATAACTATCATATAAAGATATGTAGAATGATGCAGCTATTTGCTTACAACTAAATATTTTTTATTAAGTGCACCACATCTCTTTTCCGTGTAGGCTATAAATTGTCTAACAAATAACACTATCCAAGTGCCACACGTTAGAAAAAACATTAGACACGTATTTTTTTTATTTTGGCTAACAAGGCATTTTAAGGTTAGAAAACGCATTCAAAAATTTAACACTCTATAGTATAATGATAACTAACGCTATTCCTGAGCGTCATTCTTTTACAGCTTTTACGACATTACTTTATTATAATTTCATTGTCCTCTAGATTAATATAACTGATGCCAAAATCGTAATCATGGGTCTAAAAAACTTCTTCGAAACTGACTTTGAATAAAGTCTTTGAAATGTCTGCGATTTCGGTCCGCCATTTTGAATCTCGCAAAACTAATGTCAAAATCATAATTAGCGACTTCAGAAACATTCAGACAATGAAATTATAATAGAGTAATGTCGCAAAAGCTGTAAAAGAATGACGCTCAGGAGTAGCATTAGTTATCAATGTGCTATAGAATGTTAAATTTTCGAATACGTTTTCTAACTTTAAAATGCCTTGTTAGCCAAAATAAAACAAAATACGTGTTTAATGTTTTTCGATATACTACATGTGTGCAAAGTTTCAAGAAGATCAGCGTGTGGCACTTGAGTAGTATTATTTGTAAGTAACGCAAACTATCCTTAAGAGCGTCAAAGTAGCATAAAAATTTTGACTGGGGAAAGCGAAAAAAATTACGTATTATAGACACTGTTTCATTGAGAAAGCTGGCAGACGTACTAATAGACGTTCTAATCAACTTCGAAGCGGGAACCCTTTTTCCGTCGAAATATAACGATGCATCGCGCCGCATTGGCGATACTGCAAGAATTGCAAGATCAGAAAATTGCACCAAACAAAAATGAAAGAAGATTACGTATTATAAGCACTGTTTCACACACAAACTCAGAAAGCTGGCGTTAATAGACTTACTAAGCGATCTACTTTGAAGCTTCTTCGATGATCTTTCTGCCGTCGGAATGTACGATGTACCGTGCCGCATTAGCGATACTCGTCGACGATTTGTCAAGAAATGTCGGAGAACACAGAGTTTGATCCGTGATTTTTCTTTGGAAACTTTTCTTCTCTCAAGCTGTGCAGCCTCCTCGACAACGACGTCGTCATCGTCATCGGCGATTGTATGCGCGATAGATGAGTAATCAGAATAAGTTGGGTAATACCGAGAGAGCTTCCGATAACGCGCTTCATTCTTCATTTAAACGATTGGTATAACGGACCGGGTATCGAAATTTTATCGCGCGCGCAACTCGCCATTCGCGACATTCTGCGTCACGTTTGCGTACGAGATCTCCGCGCGAGACACGTCGACCTCTAATCCCGACAATTAATTTATCGCCGCGCTCGCTCCCTTCTTTCGCGTGGAAGACAACTCGGAACACCGTCTCTACCTGTCGCCAATTAATCAAACGCACCGCGCCGTTCATCGATGCAGGAATGCATCGCGTCCCGCTCGGCGCACAATTGAAAGGTTGGAGGAGCGCGGCGATTTTATTGCGAATAAAATCGCGCGTAGCCGTCGTTAAGTCGCGCCGAGTCTTCTTCTGCGCGTCCCTATGAAGATTGACGGCATTAATTGGATCGAGGAGGACGACCTAAACTTAGATTTTTATTGATGCTCGCGTTGCGCAAGGATAACTCGGCGCGTGTACGTACGCGTACATGTACGTATGTGCGTGCTTGTGTGTATGTCGCGTATTTAACGACTCCACGCCGACCCGCGATTTTCTCTGGCCGAGCGAGCGAGCGCGCGTCTACGTCGCTGAATTAATGACCGTTCTCGCTACGAGCTATACGACGCGCGCTGCGGTGTCGTAATAGTCGACTCTCGACTCTACCGTCTCTATCGTAAGATCGATGAGGACGAGATGCTACACAATACAATACACAAAGGTGTCGCAAGAGAGCATGCCGGAGATGCAACTCCGCGTCGGGAATCTCTCTCCTGAGAGGAGTAGTCGCTACTCCCTCTCCCCCCTGCAGCCCCTGACGGCCCGCGTCTCGTCGGTGGACGTCGCGATTATAGCGCAATTTTCGCGTTATAGTCTCGCAACTGCCGCTGAAACGCGGCGAGCGAGAGTCGATGAAAAGGTTCTACGGCTTGCAAAACGGCGTGACGGCTCTGCGCGCGCGGGAATTATATATATTCAGCGCGTTTCCGTTGTGTCGTGTCGTCCCTCGATCGATCCGTGTTTTCTCCTCGAGATGTTCTCCCTCTCTCTCTCTCTCTCTCTCTCTCTCTCTCTCTCTCTCTCTCTCTTTCTCTTTTTTGTAAGATCCCTCAGCGTGGCGTGTTTCGTTAACGAATATTGTCTTATTTCTGTTGCAGTATGGTTCGGATGAATTCGGCCAAGACTCGCCGAGGTACACGTCGCCGAAGGCCGCGTTGTATGCCGACTCCTATTATATCGGTAAGTGGAAACGAACTTGATCTCTGTGTATTTCTGATATATGACATCTACACATTTGTCTCCTTCTTAGGTCTCATTTAAAATTTCCTCTCGCTTTTAACCCTACAGCCGTCGCATGAGGTCTTTAAGAGAATATTATATCCAAAATAGTCTTTTCTTATATTTTACATGAACCCAGAAACCTAATTAAACAAAGAAAATATTTAAGTATTCTCAACATAAAAGATATAAAATAATTTTTTATGTTGGAGTCTCTCAAGATCGCATGCGTCGGCTCGTGTTCGAAAAGTAGCGCGACGACTGTAGGGTTAAATTCTCTCTTTTAAAAATTCATTCTGCTCAATACTTTCGTTATGTTTTCTTATTCGTGTGCACTTTGTGTCTACCCCTATTTATCTGAAAAGCCCGCTTATAGGTACGGAAATTGTATCATGCCCTCAGAGGGTTTTCTAAGGCAAGTAAATGCTTTTCTCTTTCTCTCTCTCTCTGTGTATCGAAGCGATAAACAAGGGGAATCAGGTTCAACTCTGTCCGATCGTGTGTGCGCGACATCTTAGAGAAAGTTGAATCTTTTCTGGACGAATCCCGATTGGAACGTCCGGGAAAGTAGGCGGTATTGCATCTGTACATATATAACACGCGGATCGGTTATCAACAACTAATTCCCTGAAACTAATTAAGAAATAGATTACTAACTTATATCTGTTAATATATATAATCGATAACGTCGGCCGTGTTACGATGGATGTAATTAAACGAGATAATAGGAGGCCCCGCAGTTCGATAGATCGATCGTTATCTGGAAATCAGCGCAGCCGTCGGTGGGTAGCAGCAGCGTACATATGTGTATATGTGTATATATGTGTACGCACATGTGTACATGTACATACACACACACACACACATATATATATATATATATATATATATCATTTGCAAATCGCATAACGATCCGAATGGACGATAAAAGGCATTTTACGAGCGCGCTAATATTCAACTGTTTAACGTGCGCTCGTAAAATTTGCCGCTCTGCCTGTCGTGCGTAAAAACAATAACAATCTCGTTATTTGTTCAAGCGACGGGACGAAGTTCGTCGCTGAATTTCGCGGCGTGGATATATATATATATATATATATATATATATATATATATATATCCGGTATATTCGTTGGAAAAGAGAAAATTTCTTTTTTGACAGAAAACTTTTGCCGACGAGAGAGAGATACGTCGCCGATATGAGGTAGTTTCGCACTCGCGGTCGTCACCGCACCGTCCATTTTGCAAATTGCGCTTCCCGTCGTTGTAACAACATATTGCTCGTCTTAAATTTGTATTAATAGTTATTGCTTGAAACCTAAGTGTGTGTGTAAGATGCTCAGATCTGAACTCAGAGTTGAATGAGGGTTTTGTGAATTGCAATTGCAGGTATAAATATCACATATATCATATATCATAACTCAATTGAGAAGGCTGGATTTAAAGAAGATCTGAAGAAAGATCTGAGTATCTCACATGAGACAAGTTTCATGTGACAACTATCAGGGTTACTACAGGCCTGGAAAACCGGGAAAATCGGGATATATATGTCAGGGAAAAATATAAAATAAAAAAATATAAAAATATAAAAAATATAAAAATATAAAATAACCTAGAATTTTGACCTTTCTTTACAATTTTTTGAAATTAAGGTAACTCTCCCTACGTTATAAGAGAAGAATATACGATCTTTAGACCTTTACTAAATCTAAGATCACTAGGGATTTTATTTAAATTTATTAAGTTTATTTTATTTTAATTTAAAAGTTTATAGGTATAATATAGGAATTCAAATGTTATTTAAAAAAATAAATAAGATTTTCTTAGTTTATATTGAATATATATACATCTATACTATTCTATGCATCATAATGTGAACAAAATAATTAAAATTTATATTTTACTCAACGTTTTTTCATTCAATAATCCTTTTCCGTCTCATATCTACATTCTTTTTTGCAATATTCATATAATTTTTGTTAGCCTGAATGTGCACTTTCAGGAATATTATATTATATGTTAGAATTATTATATTATTATATTATATTACTAAACTAAATTTGTATTGTTTTTAGTAATATACTTTTTCTGTATCTACTTTATCTGTAATCCCAAAATGTTAAAAGATTATATTTTGGTCATAGAAAATTCTCCACTGTCGTCTGGAAAACATGAAAAAGTCGGGAAATTTCAAAATTGATTTTCTGTAGCAACCCTGACTATTAATACGGGCCTTAGAGTCGTCGTCCTGATAATATCGCCCGAGAGAAAAAAAGTCGCTTTGCTCTTGGTGAATTCTTCGCGATATCTTCTCGTCGTGTAGTATCGTTCCGAATCAATTCGGCCGTGGAATTCATCACGGTGGTCTAAATAATCGGCGTTTCGCGCAAAATCGCTGTGAGCGGTCTACTATTAGCGTGCGCAACCGCTCACTTTTACGGGGGACGTAATTGCGGTTTACAGTTCACTTTGTAGATTATAACGGATCTCTGATAAATAATCGTCATCTCGCACACCGCAGGTGTCGGCGGACACCGTCACGCTCTGTGCTCCGCGGATATTCGTCCTGGGTACACGGGATTACGCAATGACAGGCCATAAGGCACCGCGTATCGAACTTGACGTTTTGAGTGATAATGCAGAAGTATTTGTTCCATTGTCGTATACGGCGTAATGTCTCGCGAGAAAGGAAAATATTGTACGCAGTTGTAACTATAAAAAAATAACTAACGTTCCTCGAGTTGTGTGCGAAGGAACATGCAAACGATCAAACACACATACAGGACGAGTCTTCTTTTTTTTTTTAAAGTTGGTCGGGGAGAAAAAAATCGACGACGCGTCGACTAGAAATTGCAACATGATGATTTCTCACGGAGAGAGATCTCGCGCAGTCAAAAATATAAGTACAAATATCTAAAACGAGATCTCCACATACACACACATCCGGTGATAGATCTATGAAATCGGCCAAGTTTGCACCGCGGGTTATTGTAGATCGGATGAGAAAAGTAGCGGCCTAAGTATGCCCTCGAAATACGTGTTGGCGTTCGTGGCACCCGGTAGCTGACCGGAATGGCTTATAAATGGGAGGCCACGACGAGGGGCGAAAAAGTTTTATCAGACATCGAACACCGGTAGTTCGTAGGAACGCCCGAGTAGTTTGGCTTAGTTTCCGTTTTCTCGTCGAGGAGCGCCCGGCACGGGAATTATATCAAGCAAAAGTATCAAGAAATACGTTCCCGAAGCTTATTGCTGTTGTTTTCAACTGAAATAATGGCCCGGGCGCCGGGTACCGTCTATTGGCCCTTATACCGGGTGCTCCAACGCCGCGGAACAGCCGACCGGCCGAGTGAGACGTTAGAAAGCGCGAAATTTCCACTTGGCGGGCATCCAGCCACGCAGAGTCGTGTATCGTGTCACGGAATCGTTCTCGAAATAATTACTGCGGAAGGTACGATGTATCGGTACTTTCTTCGTTAACAAGTTTTGCGTATACACATCGATGCGGTGCGTCACACGTTAATCGACCGAAATTGCGCAAACGTTGCACGCGTGGGGCGTCCCGGGGAGGTAGAGAGAAAGAGAGAGGGGGGGGGAAGTGAGAAGAGAAGCGTCTTGAAATTCGGTTAAACGTCGCAGCGATGCGTTTTAACTTGATTTCAACGCCCATTACCCGGGCACGTGGTGTGACATTCTCTCATCATTGAACGCCACGTGCTGTACTATTTGTTGTTTCTCGCTCCAATGACGTAGAAAGTGCGCGCGTGTAGATGACGGAACGCGAGAGCTTATCGGCGCTCCGCAGCGCGTCGTTTCGCGTCTCGGTCACATCTCGCGAAAACGGAAGTTCGCAGAATCGCAAAGCGACTGGCAAAGACGGCGTGCGAGTCTCCAAGTACAGCAGTAACGCTTGTAATCCCGGCTTAATACAAGCGCCGCTTGTGGCTGCGTCATTGAAGTATTTTTGAATTCTTCTCCTCGACGAAAGATGGATAAGAGACAGAGAAATACACTGAGAGAAAAGACTGGTAACTATAACAAACTGCATTTAGTTACAGAAATTCATTGAATCCTTAGTAACTAATACTAAATATGATAATAATTACCAAATATTTAATAGATCGGGAGTATGACGTAATTGCACTCACAGTAACATCAATTAAATAATTTAGTAATAGTTATTTAATGTTAAATATTTAATATGAAATATATTACAGTTATGAACAGATATTTGATAATTGTTATGAAATCGTTATATCTCATATAATAAAAAATTCAGTAGGTACGAGTTCTATTTTGTTACCAGTATAAGTATGTTTTGTTGCAGCACAACGAAAAATTCATTCATTTGCAGCTATTACATCGTTTCAATATCTATTATTACAGATAGTTGGTTGAACCTATCAAAAATTTTGTAACTATTACAAAATCGCTTATTTTGCTCAACTATTCAATAAGTTTTATTTACCAAATATATTCTGGAAGCAAATAAATTTTATTTCTGTCAAATAAATAATTTATTTTACAGAACTAAATTAATTAATAAGTATTGCCATAGCTTTGGCCCGCTATGTTTACGTCTATCATTTAACAATAGTAACCAAATTTTGATAATATTTACTAAATTCTTCTCTCAGTGTAGAGAGAGAGAAAGAGAGATCGACGTGGATCACGTCAGCTACAAAGTATGTGCATTTAATCCCGATTGCATCGATTATTTAAATCCCAGGTCCCAACTCGACCGACAATCGCATGACACATGATCGATCGGATCTCTCTTGTTGCAGATGGTAACACTGCTGGAACCGGTCCCGGTGACCCATGGACGGGTGCCGGCGGTGGCGTTCAACCCCCCTACAGCGGATACGCACCCCCTCACCTGGCGCAGCCGGCGTACCCCATGCACCTACCCCACGATCCCATGGTAAGTGATTTCTCTCCCCCACCTCCCCCGTCTCCCTCCCTAGATCTCTGTCCGCCCACCTTTCTCTCCTTTCACTTCACTTCCCGCCGATTCTACCTTCCCCCATCGCGGCCGCGCCTGAAGAAGCGATCAATCACGGGTGACTCGGCTGCTGCCGGTTCCTGCGGAGCCGGCTCGCCGTGAAAACGCGTCTGGAACTCGGTAATAGACACGAGGGATATTCCTCCTCCCGAATTTTCCTGTCGTCGGATCCTCTCGCGCGCGCGAGTCCGAGACGAGGAGGAGAGGAAGTCGACAGATTAAAACCCCGCGCGACCTACTCCCGCGGTGTACACACTCCTACGGCGGAAGATCGATGTGGCGCTCTCCTCCCGAGCCGCGGCGTGTTCCCACTTCTCTCTCGGTTCGGAAAGTTACGAGGTTCGGCGAAACCTTGAGCACGACATATCGGGTATTGTCGGCGGTGTGTCGGCGTAAAAATTTGATCGACGATAAAAGATTGATCTTGAACCGGAAGGGCTCACGTCCCGCGGCGTCCGCTCTCGAAGACTCCTCGATAATTTCTCGCCAACTTCTTCATATCGCAATTGACAGCGGTGGCAATAGTAATGGTAGCAGTACACACAGAAATACATTTTTCTGTGGAGGGGGGAGGGTTACCGAAATCGTATCGATCTCCTAAATTTCGTACTTCATCAATCGTACGAGATTCTACTAAATGTTCATAGCACACGCACGAAGTAATAAGATGTAACTTGGACTTCTTTTCTTTATATTTCTCATTTTTACACTGTTAGATGCCGTTCATATTCAGTAATAATAAAGAAATTGAGGTTGAGACGATTTCGGCAACTCTCTCTCCTGTACTCAAGTAAATTGTTTCAAGTATTTCGTATAAGTTCATACATCCGCGCAAATCTATTATAAGTTTATCATGAGCGCCAAATTAACTCAATATAATCATTCTGAATCCTAGCAAGTTGAGCAATTCAATTGAGGACGTTAAATTAAAAGAAAAATTCGATTCATTTGCTGCACGGAGTCGAACCAATTTTTTCTTCAATAAAGTTTTGCAATATTTTTGTGAAAAGAATGAACTCTTCCTTTGAGTGTTTGACAAGAAGCCTTTCTGAAACTTGCATTGAGTGTCTTTTTTGAGACCATTATCAATAAAATATTCTTGAATATTATTGAAGATGACTCTATTAGTCAAAAGGAGGAAACTAAACTGAGTAATCGCTTTTCTCAGCAGTAGAATGATACTTTTCTGTGTGTATAGTTCTGTGGTAATGGTAGGAGTAGTGGTCGTAGTAGCATTATTATCAGCAGCAAAGAGAGAGCAGCAGCGGCAATGGTAGCAATAAGATCGCTAAATTCAGTTCGAGGAATGTGTGTTATCGCAAATTTTTACTCGGCCGACGATCTACGTCGAAGCTGGCGGTTGTTTGAAATGCACTCGTCCCGGATGAGATTCCGAGACCCGGCGGCTCTGCTCGCTCGAAAACATCCTTCCACAAATACGCGAACTTTTCGGAGATTTATCGTATCGTTGATGGGTTTCCGCGGAACGTGATAAATCCCCCGATCGCGTCGCGCCGCGTCGCGTCGCGGAACCGCGCTAAATCTCGCCGGGAGAGAGATTGTCGATTTGCCACCGACGAAGAAGGCCGTCGTCTCGAGCCGCGCGACGAGAGCTGAGAATCTAGAATCATCGTCCTCGTCGTCGTCTTCGTCGTTGTCTTCTTCTCGCTTTCGCCATTACTCTCGGCGTCAGCGACTTACCGCGCCGACTTTAATCCTCTTCATCAACCGTGATCCGTGCGACCAGCTGGTGGAATCTTTTCCAGCCGTCTTATTTCGGACCACCCGGTTGACAGTCGCGTGCGAAGAGAGACGCGTTCTCTCTTCATCACTTCGCCACGGTTGAGAGACACTGTTGACAGTGCTCCGTGTAACGCTCCGGAGTAACGTCAAATGACTCACTGGCGTCTATATATAGCGCGACCCTCCCGCTACTCCGTGTTTCTAGTCAAGTGCAGCCTTCGTTTGATTTACGCCGTTCATGGTTACCACGAAATCCTCCTCTTCGTGGCACCTCGCGCCGTCGTCTCTCGGCGGCCTCTTTCTCTTTGAGACAACGAGAGGAGGCTTCTGTTCCCGGCGTGTGACGTTCGCGATTGCGAATGTTCGACGATGCTTCGCTAATAGCTTCGTACAGCCGAGAGCGCTTCGCCAATGTTACCTGCTTCTTTCTTTCGAATCTACTGTCTCGGAATCTCGCAGATATGCCACACAGCTGATTACGAGTCACGCTTGAATTGCTGATCTGTAATATCCTGAAGATCGACCATTTTGTTTATTATCCGCGCGGCGGGGTGTGGTTCCTTGACCCGCGTGATGCGGCAAGAAACGTCGTAAAGACGTCGTGCGATTCAGAGTGAACGCGCCTGGGAAGGATGGAGCTTAAGCGTCAGGAGGTAAGACTTCCTTCGGTAGCAAAGGGTTAAACATTTACGATCTCCCCCGGTTTAATGACCCATCTTCCGAGAAGCCGTGTCCGCGTCCATCGAGAAGTCTCGCAGGAAGACGCGTCTCCGAGTCGCTCTGTGCACCAGTCGACACCTCGAAGCGCTCCCATCACGTCCGCGCGACGTTCTTCCCCGTTAGTCGTCCGAGCACTTCAATTTGTTGATAAATACACTATGAGCCCCGCAGCCGCGGTGGTGCTTAAAATTAGACTTTTACGAGCGATCTCAGTAGGTGCGAGAGAACGGCCATCCCGCCGGACGTATCCGGTATCAAAGGTACCTCATGATCCATTATGACCGGAGGAGAGAGGCACGTTTAAGAAATCGTACAGATCGAGTCGGGTCGAATCGAGTCGGGCGCGCGCGACCGTTCGAAATCACTTCGGGCTTGTAACGGGAACCTTTATCGCTTGTAGCTACAACGAGATAAATCAATCCTCGTTTCGCGCTCACTCTTTCGCTTTTTTTTTATCTCTCTCTCTCTCTCTATCTTTTTTTCAAAACACATATCTCTTAGGGAACCCACGCGAGGAGGAATCCCTCACAAAATTCCCTCAACGAGTCCCATCGACGAAGATAAAGACCGAGATGTATGACCGTCGCGTCGAATAAATCGCCAACAATCGGCGTCGTTGTCACCGCGTTCCGTGGAATTCTCGTTCAGGAGAACACGGTTTCTTTCCTTTTCGACATTCCTCCGAACCTCACGAGTTGCCGACAATGTAAAAATTCCGTCAATTTGGAGAACCTGTGAAGATAAGCACCGAGATACCGCGTAACCGTTGCGCGTCAGGTCGGAGACGCGGAATCGAAGATGTTCGCTCGCTCGTTTACATGGACGCTCCACGAGTCTCCTCGGAATAGACAATTAATCCTTACGGTGACTGTCTCCCTCTCAAGCTTCTACCAAATCCCTAAAACCCACGAAATTTCTTCAATCACAGAATCCATGAGAACACGAGATTCCGTAACATCGAATAATCTCAAGTTTCGAGATGTTATCGAAGAAAACACGTCGCGTCTCTTCGCGACATTGACGATTAGCTGACATTCCTACGAATCCAATTGCCGAGAAGAAAAAGAATCTCTTGGACGATCAAGA